TACTACTAATGAGTATAAACTATGGTTAACTATTGCTAAATTATTTTAACAAATACTAAATATAGATAACTACTGCTAAATATTTCTAACTAAAGTTAACTAATACTATATAAATCTTACACTAAATTGTTGTATAATAATAATATACTTAATTTAACATAACTAATCATAAAATTTATTCCTATAAACAAACTACTACTAATAAGTATTAAGTGTTAATTATTAAGTATTACTATGGTTAAATATTAAAAACGTTTGTGAAATGACAATAATTATTCGTTTTGTAACAGATTGTGGTAAAATTAGAGAATTATTTGTATGCGTTGTAGAATTATCTGGCACAAATGCGGAAACTATAACAGAAACTATTAATCGAGAATTAAAAAAAAGATAACTTGATTGTTCAAAATTAATAAGTCTTGGTTTTGATTGTGCTGCAAATTTTTCTGGAAGTATAACTGGAGTACGAAAAAGACTATCTGAAATAGCACATAGAGAAATACCGGAAAATATTGATACACGTTGGTTAAGTAATCATCGATCAATTCATGCAGTCAAAGAGTGTTATAAATCAATTATTTTGGCATGTGAGCATATACACACTGACGGAGCAGATCTTGCTTCACTAGCAGGAGGTATTCTGCTAGAAATCACTCAGTCAAGTTTTTTGATCACATTAGTTGTCCTAAATGAGGCTTTAGGCGCAGTCAATAATTTAAGCAAAATCTTACAAAAAGAAAACCTACAGCTATCATCAGTACCAGTTTTAATTTCTTCTTCAATTGATCATTTTAAAAATGTCTCGGCCCAATGTTCATCAAATTACGAGAATAATTCAATTCATAAATGTATAAATACATTAAAAAAAAATGTTAGTAATTCACGAAAAATAGTTGAATATGAAAATAAAATAAAAAGTCTAAAAGAAGCTAAAAAATGTGTTGATACAATGATAGAACAAATGCAATTACGTTTTAATGAAAAATCACTAGAAATAATTAAATTAAGTGCTTTATTTGAATCATTTGAATCTTTAATTACAATCACTGAAGAAGATGTATTGAAAATATGTTTATATTTTCCTAGTCTTGAACCATCCGATGTTTGGATAGACTTGAATTCATTTAAGTATGTTGCAAATAGTTTGGTAGATGAAAACTTAAACAATCCATTGTTATATATTTATAAAGCAAATTTTGGGTATAAAAATTTGAAAAAACATGCTGAATGTTTAATGTGTGTACCAGTTTCAACGGCTACTGCGAAGCGCTCTTTCAGTACAATGAATAGGATTATGAACAAAATAAGAAATAGAATGGGACAAGAAACTTTGCAATCCTGCATGAAAATTAGCACAGAAGGACCCTCAGAACTCGATGAAGATACTGTAAATGAGGTAATTGATTTGTATGCACGTCAAAAACAGCGCCGGATTCGTTTAATTTAATTTAATAAACATAATAAATATTAAAATGTATATGACTTAAGCTCATATTTGTGTATTATTAATAATATAGATTAATGTATAAGTAATGTATGTATAGTAAATGTGTGTTATATTTTTTTTTCCATATAATTAATCAAAATTAGATTATTAATAATTTATGTATTCTTAGAAAAAAAATAATACCTTAATAACTTAAATTATTAAGTATCAATCTGATACCAATAAATTGAGCTTAAAATAATATTTTTACTTCTCTTAATTATTTACTTCTAAGACATACCCCCTAGAAAATTTACGATACCCCCCCCCCCAGGATAAAAGGTCTGAAATAAACACTGTCAACGACTCAAGAATTGAAGGATATAATGTAGGGTGACCATATGTAAAAAAAAACCGGACATTTTTTTGGCAATGGATAAAAAAAAAATTATTGATTGTGGTCAAAACAAGAAACTTATATAAATAATATATATGTATATATAATAATTGTAGTATATATTATAATAACAAAACTTATAATTTCAAAAAATAATTTTGAAAAATAATTTACGTTCTAATGTTAGGAATGTTATTACTATTTATTATATTAAGTTACAATAATCATATATTATTATTATGGATATCGATATAGTCCTAATTTCGAGGAAAATAAATATCAATAAGCACCCCAATATAACTGGATTTCATAGATAAAAATATCTAAAGCAGTTTATTATTATTGACTAGAGCTTGGATGTTAATGACCAAAATTTCATATTAATATACATTATAAAGTGTCATGCAATTATATGCCATAAAATGTATTAAATATACCTATTTTTTCAACAAATATATGCAAAACAATATTTAATATTAATTCAAAAAATATTAATTATTTTTCGATCTATTATAGATAAATTTTACATAGGTTAAGCATTTTAAATATCAGGATTATACTGTACAGCAATAGTTTTGTTGATATTTTCAAACTTGAAAGACCTTCGACTATCCGATAAGAAGTTTTTGTTGACTAAAAATACAACAATTAACGGTGTTGATCGATAATTTATAGTAATATGGACAGTTTTTAATATTGTACTTAATCATTTATAAAATATATGCTACTTATCCTAGAAACAATCGATATATGTACATATATGCTCAAAAATGTCAAATATACAAAAATATGCAAAATAAGTTTGCATATTTACAATCGAAATTTCATAAATCTAATTTATATCATAATAGGATATAATTCTGATTGCGCAAAAAAAATATGCCAAGTCATAAACATCCGAGCTCTATTGATGACTATCAATTAATCGCTAAAATCAGTCACAAAATTGTGCGCAACTTAAAAATATTCGAAAATTGCTTAACCTGTCCGGTTGACTAAAAATGCAAATTTTAGGTCTGCACAAAATGTGGAAAATTCCATAACACGTTATTACACAATAGTAATTCACGGCCGTCGGTTATTCTACGTCAATAAGTACTCACGAAGCGATAAACGGTCGTACCCAAGGATTATTATCAATATTTACGATTCGTCAAATAAACCAATAGCAGCAGGTGCTTCACTGGATTACGCTCAGGAAGCGCCTCAATGATATAATATTAAAACGGAAAAATTATAGAGGGCATGTTGAGGCGATATTTATTATTATTATTATTATAATCATCTTTGTATTTTTTGTTAAATTTGTAATCTTGCTAACTAGTTGTGAACTGCACTGTCAATCGTCGGAGTCGAAATGCGAAAGAGTTGCCTCGCACCGCTTGCAATTTAATATATGATAATAATGATATAATGCAATATATTATGTAATATAACATTTATACAATTAATATAATTATAAAATCAACACTTGGATGTGTGGTTAAGTATTTTTGTTTATCACAACCCACCGAGCCAACTAGGTAGTACTAATTTATATAATATAACTTAGCTGTTAAAACTTAACTATTAAACTAACTAAAAAATTGTAAATATACGACCGTGACACAACTTGATTGTTTTTTTCATCTTGGTTCGTTCTTATTCACTTCGATCATTTTAGATCCGTAATTAATCGCCATCTAGTCTCGACGTCTAAACGCACAAAAAAATTTAAATAACATAAAAATAATTCACTGAGTATTTTTAACAATTAAAAATAATACTGAAATGGTAGAACAACGTATGCGCAAATACTGTAAAAACTTACTGAACTAATTTTGTTTTGTTGACTTTTATAACACAGCAATCAGTTTTATTTTGGCTGGCATATATTTTACAATATTATTTGTAATAGGCCTAAAAACAGTAGTTGTTATTTGCTTATTAGTTGATGTCTTTCGTCCGTCTACCACATAGATACGAGTATCTATATAATATGCATATCTGTGGTCTGCCATATGTGCGGTAAATGATAACTAGTCGAAAAAATATTTATTCATTATACTTATTTATTGAATTATTATCAGTTGAATATGAAAATAAAATCTATTAAAAAAAAAAAAAAAAAGGTCGTGGAAAGCGATCTATTCTCAGTGGCGTAACCAAGAAGGGACTAAGGAGGCTATAGTCCTCCCCTCATAGGTCATGTTTATGTCCATGTACTATACTAGTATTATACTACTATTTGGTTTTTAAGTATTTTATAACTTTGGTACAAACGAAATGGGTTTTGTGTTTGATACATAAGCGTGATACTTATGTCACGACATGTCGTGATTATCACTATTTTTTTTGGTGGTAACCATGAAGGTTGTGGAGACCCTTGTCTAACACTATCATTTTATAATAGATATAGTTTTTATATTAAGTCGCTATCGCAGTTGACCACTATTAATTTATAATTATACTGAATTATATTTTAATAAATATTAGGTATTAAAAGTACATCAAAAGTATGTTGGAAAAACATTTTCAAACTTGGTGGTGGGAAGAGGGAAGGGTGAACTCTTAAATCCTCTCTTACATAATCTGCTCAAGAAAATGCCTCTCTCACTTAAAAATTCTAGCTACGCCACTGCATCACCCATATCCCACCTCCCCGTGAGAACGACCATGATGCAAATAAACATAATAAACTTCGACCATTAAATCATAGCGGATATCGCTTGTCGCTATGACGTTCTAATTCGTCATGTTCAAACGTTTTTGAAAAAATAAAAATAATCACTGATTGCTCATCGACCGATTTGCACCTTACCTGCGATCCATAAACGTAGAAATAATTCATTTATGACTATACCTACATCACGGTTCTTGTCGTTGAACGATTCAGAATTGCATTGGATTTCATTCATTCGTTGACAGGTGCCAAGAGCGAAACGATTTCACTGTCATTCTGATGTTGAACATAAAACACTTTGTTTGAACTCATAACATATGTTTGACATTTACAAACCATAAAATGTATAAGAAAAACAATTATGGAAGTTTGTTAAAAATTACATTTTGTCGCATTATTTTATTTATAGCATAATTAATAATTCTTGATTGTTTGTTTCCAAACAATTATACACAACAATGTTATTAAAATTGAATCATTATTCCATTTAAAGTAAGCGTCTAAAGTTCAACGGTATTCATAATGTGTTTTTCTAGACAAGTTCCTAGTTTGAAATAATTTTTAATAACGCGGAAATGATTTCATGGTTTATCTTTAAATCCATCATTCACGGTGAAAATGTCAAACGGTTCTGTTTGCGTTGGTTCTTTATTTATAACTTGTAAGACAGAAGAAAACTTATTGTACGCAAGATTGTTATTCTTTGAACTACATTCCACACAATACAACATATCCGTTAGATTTATATTTGACATCCCAAATGTCCATTTTATATTCAGTATTTTTTTTTTTGACATTATACAGATAAATACAGAATCGGATTAAGGACCAATGTCGCCACAGAGCCAGTGTAGTATAATTCGTGAAAATACGTATTGCAAGACCAATACTTATTGCAAGAATTAGAAAATTTACAATATTATAAGTAGAGTTTTAATGAAAAATAAAAAGTTAGTATTGAAATGATTTAAATTTCTAAATCAGTTTTAAAAATGTTCTTAGATATTGAACTAAAAAAAATTATTTATAGATAACAATTACAACATTTTACTTTTCAGATAGATAGGTAGTTTAAATCTTGTACTGTTCCTCAACATTTGCAGCTTGGAGCAAATATTTCTTTTGCAACTGGGTTAATGTGGCCCTAGACATATGTTAGTTTTTTATAGAAAGCATCTAGTAGATAATCCGCGATGAATGTTTATGGATATCAATTAGACATTGATATTTTGTAACTAATGAACTTCGTATTATGGATACTAAGTATATTAGATATTTAGATAAAGTTCAATGCACACTCGACAACAAGGTTTTTATATAATTTAAACACAATAATATATTGTCTACGTACATTTTTATTTTTAATTAAGGGAACTATTGAAACAGTTCACCACAATTATACCATCCTACAATTTCACTTCATAAAATCATAATCAATTTAATATTTAAACTGTTTAGGTACTGTTATGTATACAAATTACGATTCATAATAACAATAATAATAATAATAATACACAAAATAAAATATATGGCTTTCTCCTTAAAGAAGTATTTTCTTGCAAATTTATTATTTGATAAAGAACAATTTGGTTATTTACCTATATTAATATTTTATAAACTGAATTTTTTTTTTCTGTTATCACTATATATTCACATAAATCCATGTTCAGTCATTTTATTAATTTGTTTTGTTATACATATGTGGTATTATTATATGAATTTGTATTTATTACACAAGAAATATTTTTAACATTTTTTTTTTATTGCTAAGATAATGAAACGAGTCTGAATATTAACCTGTATTAATATTTATTAGGGTAAATAATTTTTTGCTAAAATGTTATTGATTATTAAATAAAGGTTTAGTTTCACTATCACTATTTTTCAATTTATTCTCCAACAATAATAATATAATAATCTAATTAATATATTCACTTCAGTGAATATCTTATGGATATCCATAAACTAATAAAAAAACGGTCAATTGGATATCTAGTAGAAATATAATAGATAAACCATCATATCTAAATAATTTTATAGATAAATGTAAATAATATCTATTATACATTCATTAGTTGTAGGTACTTGTGTTATGTAGGGCAATTTATCAGTAGTATTTTTCTTTATATGAGTACATTACACGTCTGAGTACATTCTGTAGTGTTTACATTTTAAAGATAAAATGTATCAAGGTTTACAATTATCAGACTTGGGTAGTATGCAGAATACATTTTGAGTATTTTGAATACATTTTAAATACTTTTTTGGAAAGTATTCAATCAAGTATTTTGAATACTTATAAGGAGTATTCTGAATACTGTATTTCGAATACCATTAAATCATCTCTTTTTTAAATAATTTTATTACTTCTCCATCATATCTTGTATAAGCTAATATTAGGTTGTAAACCATAAATTATAACAGTTATGTAATATAAAAATTCAATACAATAACATATATTTAGTCTACAATTTCAAATATTTGAGTGGACAACTATTATTTTTATAGTATGAAAACTAGAAGTATTTTAAAAGTATTCAGAATACTTTTGAAGTATTCTAAATAATGTATTTGAATACATATTCGGAATACTATTTTTTGTAAATATTCGAGTATTTATTCTAAATACTTTTAAAAAGTATTTTACCCAAGTCTGACAGTTATAACTAATAGTTAAATACACATAAGGTTATGAGGGAAAAAATTTCCTTGACAATACATAAATTATAGTTCACTAAAAAAAAAAAAAATGAATGCGTTTTATTGCTCAGTTGACGATCTATTAAACGTGATAGTACATTTGATAAAATTATTATTGCAGTTTTTCAAGTGAAATTTTTGGTCTCTAGACAATGGTTAACACTAAATACACATAAGCTCATAAGAACATGAGAAATCTTTTATAGTCCTAGTTTTCATAGATTACCAACAGTGATGTTGAATAGGTAAGAAGCCACCTTTTTTTGTTCCCCCCCCTCCCGGTTACAAATGTAAACAGAAATATATTTAAACTCTATCACTATGGATCGATAAAAAACATGTAAGCTGTCCATAAGCACATACACTAAGACTGATGTACATGAGGTAATATTATGTTCCATAATGTTTGTTGTACATGATTATACAAATATGACTCATTTGTCAACAGACAACCCCACAACGGTGTATGCAATCGTTTTTACTGCTCTGCAAACATTATATATACACTATTAATCTTAATGCACCACAACAAATATTGGCAAAAGGTAAAACAATTGCCTTCCAGTATAAATTGTATGGCGAAAAAAAAATCACAATTTATTTTGCTTGTTATAACTTATTATTATTAATATAAAGTTATAAATATACAAAAAAATAATAATAATAATATAATCATCATGATTGGAAATTATCGTACAATAAAAAGATAAACATTGTTGAAGATTTGGGCAGCAAATAATATTTAATAATTACTGTACCATGTAACACATAACATCGTGAAATGAAAGAAAGAATATTGTAATCATACGTATATATAAAGCACCAATTACGATACTATTGCAACAAGGACAAAATCAGAACTGCAATATTATTTTAATAATAATACCGATACGAATAAATATATATAAATGTATATAAACAGTTTTAATTATTAATATTAACACAAAAAATACAGTCTTTTAGTAACATTATTCATAAAAAAAAAATATATATATAAATAATAAACGTGAAAAACGTTGGAGGAGGCAGTAGGGCAGGACACTGTGATCCACCCTGTTGGACGTCTGAGGCGCTCCATGAAACGGAACACAATAATTGTATTACAAAAAGACCGTTAATAGAACATGTCTCTTAATAGTAAGTAAATGTTTTTTCTCCCACAATTAACTAAGACGCTATCATCATTAAAGCCTACTAACTAATCATAAATTTAAATATAATATCTAACAATTATCAATAGTATAGAACAATTCGGTTACACAAATGGATGTAAAGCAACAACGCTAAATGTAATGTACATAGTTGTGATATCATATTGGCTAGTACATATAATTTGCATAAAAAAAAAATATATATATATATATCTATAATAATATTATTATAATATTTTTATAAAATAGAAATACATTATTTATCTAGCCTTTATAACATATGTCGCCTACTAATGGCGTCTACGTTCCAAGCAACCAATTGGCGGTTCGCCGCTGAGGACACGTGAAAAAACCAAGCAAGTGAAAAACTAACGAGTATAAAAAAAAAAAAAAAATGGAAATAAATAATAAACGACGGAAGAAGTAGAAGAACGAACGAACGGCCCGTTACGATACGACGGTGGTGAGCTGCGTCTTCTCCGACCTCGGGGGCGGTGGCGGAGGAGGTCTCTTCTTGAGCATCGCGCAGGCCATCGCAGCGTTGGCCACAGTGGACAGCCTGGTGGGCGGCGGAGGCGGAGGCGGAGGCGACGGGCTGGCGGCCGACCGACGATCCCCGTTGACTGGATACACGTTCTCGTACAGGTTGTTGGGCCCGTAGTGCTCAGCCACCCAGTTGCTGACGTTCGCCTCGCGGCTGTACGAACCGGCGTCCGCGGAATCGCTGTTGGCGGCGGCGGGGTCCCGGAATCCGAGCACTTCGTGCGGTGTGGTCACCGTGTCGAGCTTGCACTTCTGCGCCACTTGCCACTTCTTGCGCACCACGCGATGCAGGTCGGCCAGGAACGCGGTGCTAGGTGGCGAGAGCAGCTTAGGCGGCGGCGGCGGCATCACGTTCAGGATGTCCTGGTCGTCGGGCTCGCCGTCCTCGTCGTCCACCAACAGCTCCGGTGGCGGAGGCGGTAGCGACTCGTCGTAGCTGGGCGTCCGGCGGTGATGGCCGTAGTGGTGATGCTGTTGGTGCTGCTGTTGCTGGTGCTGCTGCAGGTGATGATGTTGCTGCTGCTGGTGATGGTGGTGGTAGTAGTGGTCAGCGATGGCGAACTTGACCGACTTGACCGGTTTTTGGAGCTGTTGGTTCGCGGGCGCGCTCGGGGTGGCTGAGGCCGCGGCGGCGGCGGCCGTAGCCACCGACGAACTGCCGTCTACCACCATGGAGCACGTCAGCTGTCGCGTGGTGGCCGTCAGCGGCAACTTGGGCGGTTTGCGCTTGATGGTGCCGCACGGCGGGTAATCGGACTCGAACGCCACGTCGCAACCGGAAGATGAGCCCGAGTCGGACAGCCCGCTCTCAATATCCTCCACCATCATCATACCGCTGGTAGTCGCGCCCCCGGCTCCGCGAGCCGACGTCTGCCGGCCACTATTGCCGACCCCGTCCACCGAGTCCACCGCCACACCACCACCGATCAGCGCCGACTCGTAGTTCTCCAGCAGCTGTTGCCCGTACTTTACGATCCGTATGGCCGACATCCACTTGTGCAACGTGCGCTCGTCCTCCGCGCACACGTACTTAATGTACTTGGTCGACTTGGGCTGCTGCAGGCACGGGTGCTTGATCGCAAAACAGTGTTCCGTGGGCGCCTTGTACTTCTTCTTCCAGCCCACGCCGAAGTACACCTGGTTCACGTCGAACGTGGCCAGGCATATGAGGTCCTTGGGCGACCTCGACGTCTTGTCCTTGTAATAGTACAGTCCCGACGCTCTTAGGACGCTGTAGTATTTTTTCCAACCTTTCCTCGAGTCCGCTTTTATGTACAGCGGCCCCTCAACGCTCGGTAGTCCACCGTTGCAAAAGTATTCCTAAAAACCCATCAGGACGTGAGTAAAGTGTGTTATATTTACATACAATGTCGAGCATTAACGCATGATATAGGTATTCGCATTGAAAATAATAAATTCGATTTCATACACTTTTTTCCCGTCTTATAACGGGATTGGATAAAATATTACGGTACGTTTTACATCCGTTTTTAAGAATTTTAATTTTTCAACGTTTATCAAACTGATCAACATTAGTAACCGAATTAAAATTCTGACACAAACACGGGATTATAATAAAATTACCTAGTTCTAAGATTATTTTTAGAATCAAAAGCTACATCGTTGTAATAACGTTTGACATTATCGCTGTGTTCACTATAAACTGTGTACAGTAGGTAAACGCAGTTGGTAAAACAAAGTAATAAATCGATGAGATTACATTTTACGTTTTACGTGGATAATGCTTTTAAAGGCATTTAAGCTCACTCCGTTTGAAAGTCAACGAACCTTAAAAAATGTCGTTGGATTTTCCGATTTTTTCGATAAAACTTGATTGCCATAAATTAAAAACAACTATTCGAGATTAGATCTTATAAGTATACAAATAGCGGGTGGGATAGGCACTTTTGAAAAACTTTTAACGAAGTCTAAATTCCTAAAAGTCTCACCATAGATATAATCACTACGGGATAACGCCATCTTTTGAGCGTTGTAAACATTTAACTTTAGAAGCCATTAACTGACAAATCTAAAAGTATCCAATTCGAAAGATAACGAAACAGCGTAAATGCTTGCAGTTTAAAAGTCCTAAAACAACAACAACTAGATTTGGTATCTAAATGTTGGCAATATGTAACACATTTAGAGAAGTTAATAGGCTATTCAGACGAATAGTTAAATATTTTTCTTATAAACGTGAGGGTTTTTTTTCGACCATGTACCAACGTGCACGTTAAATGAACGATTGTGGCTTTTATAAAAAAATATATTTTATACACTTGAAGGATAATTTCACTAAACTTTATAAAAATTCGAGATGACGTTTGACTAGTGTTTTATTTCCAACCCTCTAGACCAGCGATTCTTAACCTATGGTCTGCGGCCCTCAAGGGGTTCGCGATAATCATGTAGGGGTCTGCGGCAGCTTTAAAACATAACATACATCGATACATGATAAGAGTGCATTATTATAATATTGTTGGATTAATATTATTATTATTTTTTTTCATATATTTTTTATTGTATACCTAATAGATTTTATCATTATAAGATGTTATAAGACTTGTGTCTCAACCATCGTATGAAATTAATAAAAATTAAATTTTAAGAATATTAAAAAAAAAACTTAAAACTAAAATAATTAAATTTAAGTTAACTGAAAAATTAAGTCAAATAAAAATAATTATAAATATATATGTTTTGTTATGTCTATTAATGTAATTTATTATTATTATTTTGGTTTTAATAACATAAGATGTTTTGTAAAAAAAAAATGTACTCGAAAAAAAAATTAGTAAGGGGATCCGCAATTTCTAAAAATCTTTCATCAGGGGTCCGTGATCTACTTAAGGTTAAGAATCGCTGCTCTAGACGTTAAATAAAATTACAACAATTTCAGTTGCGTGTGCGTAGAAGTATTCCCCTAACTATACAAATCGGATCAATTACTATTATATGTCGTTGAGTACCACGCGATTAATATTCAAACGGTATCATAATTATTTTTTCCCCACGCGCTTTTACGACTTAATGATAAAACAATATTATGAAAATTTATTGTGTAGTTTACTTACTTGGGCAAAGTTATTAGTTGCGTGACTGAGCGACTGTTGGTTGGTGTTGAATAGCGATGGATTTTCGAATATCAACGTCCTCTCAGGTCGCTCGACAAACAGTAAACGGTTTTTAGAATCCCGAGTCCACAACATTAGATTGTCTACCAGCAACTCGTGTTCTTCGTAAACGCGTTCTAAATAATAGAAGAAAAAAAACCAAAAAAACGACATAAATAGTAGTCACACGTGTTGCGAAAGTAAATTTATTTTCTTTTATTATTATTCTAGAATACCCATATGAAGGTCCGGCAGATGTTCGACGAGTCCCCAGCGTGGTCCGAGATTAATATGGTGTTTGTCAGCCAACAATCTCATGACATAACTACAGCGCATGCCCTCGTCGACTAGTAGTGATTTTGCTCCACCGTCGTCGTTGAACACTTTGATGAACAATTTTTTCACGCTAGCTTCTTTCATCTTCTGCAGAGCTAAACGAATTTTTTCAGCTTTTGACGACTCCTGTGCGCAACAGAAAAAATAAATACATAAATTACTGTTTTATTAATAATAAAATATAATTACAAATAATTACAATTGTTTAATCGTATCATATTGGTTACATCAGATGCGTAATTTATCATGTGAAAGGTACGTTAAATAGTACAATAATAATAATCTATTGTATTCTTAATCACTCATTATACTTGTAACAACAATAACATACTTTGTTTCCAGAGTGATTGGTAGTGCCGCTGGAAGCTGAACTCTCACTGCTTGACAATAACGATACGCAATCCGAAAACGCGGAATCATTGTCCGGACTATCGGTTCTTACCACTAGAAAGAAACATTTAAATTTAAATATCTCCGATTTATCTATATTTTTTGTTAAAGCCGATGTGAAGTTAATGCATTAAAAAAAAAGGAAATTAAAAAAAAAAAAGAGATAAGTGAAATCGGCGATTTATCAGTAAAAGGGTATTCTCCGAGTAGCTATACACAGTGTAATCAGATTTGGGAATAGTCCAAGGGATAGAGATTACTATTCAGTTTTAACTGTATATATAGGCCAAATATCATGAACGTCGTTGATTCATTACCATTTGAACTATGGCCAAAACCAACACCGATTGTTGGAAGACCAGAGATGAGTGTATAGTGACGTTTTTGGCCAGGTGCCCCTCGCTCTGTTGATATTGACCCTTCCCAGACGACACATTATTATTGGAACGATATATATATACCTAACGGTATTGTGAATTACGTTGCACAGGGACGGAATGTAACAAAGAAGATTTCATTCGCTTACCCCGCATTCGGAAACCCTAAAATGTCTACCGCATAGAGCCCACTGTCTGCGTGATATGAGCGCATGCATTGTGCAATACCACATACACATATAACAGTACAAAAGATATTATTAAAATACGAGAATGTTGTTTACCTGTTCCCGATTGATTTGAATTCGACATCCTGTTTATTGAATTGGAATCTGCAGCGACAAACGAGTGTTATTATTGATATGTGAAATAATAATACAGTGATGACGAAAATATCTATATAATTATACGTATACAAACCGATTTTTTCCGAATCCAATAAGCTACTCGTACTTTGGTATTGGGATTCTAACGCACACAGCTCTCCCAACACGGCATCCAAATCAACATCTTGAGTATCTAAAACCGCCAAAGAGAATAATATACGATTAAAATCACGGTAACAGTGGGAATCGAGTGATAGCTGTAGTATTTCAGCAATAACGGTTTTACCTTCTAAATTCGCCATTGAGAATCGATAAGAGTCCATGCGTTGACCAGCTATGTCTGTGGCGTTAGGTGCTTTCAAAGTAACATTATCGACTGGCTTCGACGGACTTTTATCCAAACCCTAAAAAAAAAATATTGATATATTATTAAAAGGGGAAAAAAACCAACGAATATTCCATGTAATATCTTTGATTCGCGTACACGTAGACGTACGTAGTATACACGAATCACCTGCAAGTTTATCGAGGGGAACAACCCTCAAGTCTCATTTTTTTTCATTACTTCGAATTCGTGCGATGTCAAAACTTCTTTATAAACACAACCGTTCCCCCTCTTTTAAAGAACAAAAAAGAAACATACCTATACATACGAGTATATATGCCCATGCTTCGTTTTTATATTTAAATTACCAAAGTATTACAACGTGATTTCGAAATCCGTACGACAAAACGTATTATTTTTTTCCTTAAAAATATGATCCCTACAATTGTTTACATCGTCATTGTTTGCACGGTTCTTAAACACAAAAATTATTAACTATACGTTTAATTTTTTTTATGTATCGTCCCATTTACCGTACGCATTTTTCACGGTCAAAAATTATACTTGGTTTTCGTTTCGTAAAAGCACAGCACCATACAACAATATGATGATAATAATTACGAACTAACGGCTTTACGGATGGTAAAAAAGTAGTAAGCTTTACTTTTTAATTATCATCGAGTAATTATGAACTCGATTTTACACACGTTGTTACGAATTAAAGGCGGTTTTCGATTAATTTATTATCATTGCGACATCAGCCGGCGTGTCCAAATAATGTGGAAGAAATTAAACGGACGTGCTCGCGCGTTCGTCTTACGCGTGTCAGTTTCTATCAACAGTAGTTACAAAACGTACACAAACACAACGATTCGAACCCACGTCGTGTATTATTATTTGACCGTTTCCAGTAGACACGCGGCCGTTTTAATACAGAAAAAAAAAACATTATATTTTCAATTAAATAACGAAACAATGATGCCGTACATTGTATTAGGTCAACACTCGCCGGTTGTTATTATTTAAACCCGCAGCGGGCAGACGAGCCGAAAGCCTATATTAAACGCTCGCCATTGTTCTTCGTCGCTGTTGCTGCTGCACAGTACGATAATCTATAATAATTACGCACGCGGCAGCGTCTCGGTCGTATCACGACACGAACGTAAAAATATATTTAACGTCCAAGTAGCTGCTGCAGTGTATAGGCATAACACGCGGCGAGATCATCTTCCATTGAACTATCCAATTCGTCTAATTAGTTGTGAACAGCAGCACTGCACAATGTAAACATGCACTGTATAACAATATACGCTGTACGCACAAAAACACACAATAACGGCGAACGTGTTTTTTTCCTTTTCTTTTTTATCGAACTACACGCGTACGCTGGCAGTATTTTTCAGCGTTCGCCATAAAGGAAGAGCTCCTGATCATATTCGTACGAAAATAGCAGCCGTAAAACACGTGCAACATTCTTTCGTCATCAAGTGGCCTCGTATGTTATGTTCTATAGAAAACATAATTACGGTACGAACGCGGAAAGCGATTCACTTTCCTTGGCAGCCCGTGATACGGTCATGAGCCGTAATGGGACGTAGGGGAGTGTTTACGAGAATCGTTTTTCTCCGCGCGAAGGCGCGGACGTTTTCGGTTTTATTTTCAGTCTAATATTATTATTATTATTATTATTATTATTATTATTATTACTATCGTAAACTCTACGTGGTAATCGAGTTGTACGTTACGTGTACGAAGGAGGAAAAAAAAAAAACGAGAGCGTGTGACGGCGAGTAAACAATGTTTGAACCGTTGCAATCGAAGCGCTCGTCGAAAGGGCGAAAAAAAAACGTGCGAAATACTCGTCCGTAGCACCATAAACGGTTGGCGTTGTCGATGATTTTTTTTTTTTTTT